TTGATCATTTTCAACTTCCGGTTGTTGCTTATGTTAATAAATAATTTGTTTTTGTGGAACGAGAAACTGTCTCTTGAATATTCTTTACTGAAAGTGTTCAGCTAATAGTACATTTTCATGTTTATTGACCTTTCCTATGGACGCCATTTTGAAATTTTATAGAATTGTTTATCTAGTCTTGATATCCTTTTTTAAATTGAAAATTCTTTTTAATTCATTTTTGTTGATATTTTGTTGGATGTCTCACAAAATATTAGAAATGTCTGAATTTTGAAATGGTTAACATCTTTGTAAATTTCATTTTATTTAAAATAGAAAATATTGTAAACGGGTATATCTAAAACAAGGTGTTGACTAAGAAATAGTGATATATCGATTTTTAAAGGACAGATGCAAGATGTGACTAAATAAAAATTCCTGCAATTACAATACAAAAAACTACAATAAGACTAAACATTACATTGTACAGAAGAAGCTTATTTGGCTGAAACCTTTTTTCAAATGGGGATATTTTTAGATTATCTTAAATGATTAGATGATGTGAATGTTGCAGTAAAATTTTATATTCTCTGGGTTTTGGTTTTTAATATCCAAGTAGCACTTTATAAAGTTCTGGGTTCACTTTGTCAAAGATTTCTCAAGATGAAATAAAACAATGTCATATTCGATGCGTAACAATCTCACATTGCTCGTTTTCATTCCATGTTTAAGTAATACCCTTTTGCGATCTTTTTAGATTTGTTTATATGGATTATAGACTAATGAATATTCAATAAAAACAAAATGAAAATGAAACAACAATGGAAACAGAAAAAAATACTCCATAATTTCAAAATGGCGACAATAAAAAAATATTATTAGTGAAGAAGAGGTAAAGTGTTGAAATTGTTTAAAATTATGTATAGAGAATGTTCAAAGAATTCATTTTCTCAAAATGGCTGCCAATAAAGGTGTATATATTACTAGGCTGACAAGTTCACAATGTGTGTGTTGTTTACTTTTTTATTTTTTAAATTCATCTTTACAGGAGTAGTTGATTTCATACGAGGAGGATATCTCAAACAAGAGATGACCTTCAAGAATTCTGCTTTAAAAGTCTCACCACACAGACAATAGAATATAAAATTAGCCATATGATTCAAATGAGCTAATGTGACAGCTATTCCAGATGTTATACTACTCACTAATAGTGACATATTCTGAAGTAGGCCAGCCGTATTTAAAAAACTTCGTATAACTAATGGTAAAGTTGTTAGTACAAAAAATGTTGATAATGCAAGTGTTAGAACAACTAATCTAGCTGCTGATGATTTCAAATTATCTACCCGTTTATTATCTCCAATATTACCCATTTTTTTAATATGTCTTCGTAGTTTAACAATAATCAAAATGTTCAATAGTGCCATAGAAAAGCATGGAAAAATACTATACATTGTATTTGCAGTCGATTGCAAATGTGCAGTAAAGGGAAAGTCCATATCTACAAGACAAAAAATTTGCTGCGAAGATGCTCTAACGGCACCAGTAAAAATAAAAAATATACTAAAGTCAATTCCTATAGCATAGATCGATATAATTGAAATTACTATCTTGAAAACTGTAGGAGTTGACCATATTTTTGATTTTGTTGGAAAAGTAACGCATAAGAAACGATCGAATGTAACAGCAATAAGGGTTAATGATGATATTTGACCCAAAGTGTATGATAGAAATGTATAGAGTCTACAACTGCTCCATAAATATACTTTAACATCTATAATTTCAATTGTCAGATACGAAATGGATTGAAGAATTAACGATACTGACATTAGCCAATCAGCAATTGTCACAATCAGAATATATCTAAAAACAGTCACCAACCTTAATTTACTCTTGACAATTGTAACTATGGAAAGTAAATTGAAAGGAATACCAATAATTAATGCCAATACTAATGTAATAATCGGAAACACTTTATTTAACAACAATATAACAGTTTCAAAATCATCTGGTAGTCTGGTTACTGTTCTATTCACTGATGTATTCATTCTCACTCTAAAAAATTTTCTCCACTTGCCAATTAGAATAATTGAACTGAAAATGAAAGTAAATCATAAACACACTTATATATTCTTTTCAAAGATAATAATGGTAATTTTTGTCAGGTTAACCAGTCTAATTACTTTATCTAAACATTTCAAACACGAGAGTGTTAGGTTAACTTGTCAAAGATTGAGAATTAGAGTTATTATCCTCTGAAATATGAAACAACACAAATGAGTATAATTAACAAGATTAATTTGATATGGCCGCCATTTTTAAAAAAATGTAAACAGTCGATAAAAAATTCAATGATCACAAAAGAACAAAAGTTCCATTTTGAAGACAAAGAATGAAGAATGAATGTGTTTTCATTATTCCAAAAAAATTCCTTCTCTGCCTAAAAGTAGACCTCTATACCAGAATAAGATTTTCAAACTTTATCCTTTCCTCTCCTCTTATCTTACAATTCTGTAAATATACTCTCCTCACTATTTAATGACTTTCTAAATCCTTTGTAAATGTTCAATATTGATATGAACGTATTTTCAGATTCAATTTTGGAACAACATTTTAACAAGTTTTCAATCTTTTTACTGTATAAAATTCAAATTACCTAAAATCAAAATTCTTGAAGGTGTTTGATGATATTTTCAGTCCTTTGCAAATATCTAATATGCCATTATTTATGA